GCACGTGCTCTTTGCACCTCCTTGCAGCCACCCCACCGCACCTGTGTCACTGCAGCAGCTCCTTTCCAAAAAATACCGTAGGAAAACGCCCACACAAGAAGCAGCACGTGGTTTCGCCCACCTCCTGGCGCTGGACCACCCCGTGATCCAGGGCACGACGTACGCCCGGGATGCCAGAAGTTCAAAGCTAGATTAGATCCCAATAATGTTCCTCTCCAGCCTTAAAAAAGAGCGAGAGGAGAAGGAAGATGGAGGAGGAGCGGCAGCAAGTCACAGAAGGAAGCTGGCGGAGGGAAATTAAAGCAGGCTGTGGTTTATTTAGGCCACCCCTTCCTGCAAATCCTTGGTGTGGAGATTACACAGCAGCCTCCTCTATCTCTGCCAGCACACACCGGTTCTGGCTACCAAGAGCCAGAAGAGAGCCTTAAGATGAGCCCTGAGCATCTCATAACCTCAAACAAGATCCAACCCTGAGCTCAGAACCACAAACGCGAAGAGACGACGTACCCCGACTATGAATAAAGCCATCAAATGCCAGCGGCTAGTGTATAACCAGGGCTTGAACTGCATTACGCAGGCAATCTCGTGGGACAGGACATCATAAATGTACCAGGAGTGTCCCTGCTACGAGGCAGATCCACATAAAACAGCGAAAACTCACCTCCAGCTGTCCCTTCTACCCGACAGCCAGCACCGCATCACCGCAGGTACCGGCAGATGCCAGCCTCCTCTTCTGCCAGGACAAGGTCCAACGGTTACCTGCCCAGTGTCCCATCTGTCCCACCACTGCTCCCCGTCCCCTCTCACTGCTTGGTAATTAAATTGCTGGAGGTAACAGCATTTGGGCAGAGATTTGCTGCGTGTTACCTGTGTGTAACGCTCAGCTCGAGCAGGTGCCTTGCCCTAAGAGCAATTCACACCCAGGTGGGACCCCAGATGCTCTGCGGTGAGGATGCCCACCAAAGGGACACCTGGCAGTGCCTGGCAGACAGGGGACAGCATCTCACCTGCGCCCGGACCAGCGACTCAAAGCTGGGTTTGAAGTAATCGATGCGGCTGCTATAAAACTTGGGCATTTCCTCCAGGAGCTGCTTGTTTTTGGCTTCAAAGTCCTCCTTCACCGGCCTCAGCTCTTCACGGGCCTGGGAAAGGAGAGAGGATGGGGAGTCAGAAAATGCCCTTCCCTTGGGCAGACCTGCACAGAGGCCACCCCAGGCCAGCAGACTGCTCTGATTTGACCCGAGGACAACCAGCGACCAGCTAACGGAGCCTGGTGGGACCCAAGTGACCAGCTAACGGAGCCTGGTGGGACCCAAGTGACCAGCTAACGGAGCCTGGTGGGACCCAAGTGACCAGCTAACGGAGCCTGGTGGGACCCAAGTGACCAGCTAACGGAGCCTGGTGGGACCCAAGTGACCAGCTAACGGAGCCTGGTGGGACCCAAGTGACCAGCTAACGGAGCCTGGTGGGACCCAAGTGACCAGCTAACGGAGCCTGGTGGGACCCAAGTGACCAGCTAACGGAGCCTGGTGGGACCCAAGTGACCAGCTAACGGAGCCTGGTGGGACCCAAGTGACCAGCTAACGGAGCCTGGTGGGACCCAAGTGACCAGCTAACGGAGCCTGGTGGGACCCAAGCTCTGACCCTGGAAAGCCATGGAACACCTAGAGAGGCTGCTGCAGAGATCACCAGCCAGCCAGTCTTCTCCCCTTCAGAAGAACGGGGACAAAATCCAGACCCAAAGCTCAGCCAGGCTGGAGAACATCCCCGGCCACGTCTGTGTCCCCACACCCTGCAATTCCCAAGAGCATCGCCAGAGGATCCTGCCCCCACCGCCATTTTCGCCCGTGACCTTCAGCTCAGCGCATCCAACTGGCTTCTTTAAACAGAAGCGTGGGGAGAAAGGGAAATGTCTCTGAGATGGTGTGGAAAAGGGCAGGAGGGGGTGGGCTGTGAAATATTAGACCGGTTCAAGTCTGCCACTTAATCCCGGTGCCATTCCGACGGGAGGGGGATGCAGTAGAAAGCCGGCGAGCCGAGCCCAGCCGCGGCGCCGGTCCCGCTCCCTGGGACAGCATGCCGGAGGGATGGCACGAACAAAGCCTTAAATCATATCAGGCTTAAGCAGGGCTGAGAGGCAAACGAGCAAATTCATCGTCTGCCACGAAACAAGAAGCATTTAAACTCCCGGGGTGGAGTTCACGTGGGGCAGAAGACTTTGAGCAAACAGCTCGGAAGGGAAGATGCAAATTTGCAGCTCAATAAAAATACCTGGATGAGATTATGCTCTTCCCCACCAAATCTGTGGACCTCTCGGATGCCCCAGGCTCAGGATTGCTTAAGGCTCCTGCAGGCGTTTAAGCTCACGCAGTGGTTAGTTAAGATCTCTTGCGGGGGGGAATTAGATCACACAGAAGTTCATTAAGGGAAAAAAATTAAGTAACTAAAACCTGCCTAATCACCAGGACAAAAGCATTCACATTTTTCCAGCCACAGCTTTAGTCACCGAGGCTAAGCGAAGTAAGCTGCTTACTATTAAATCGGAGTTCTCTTTTGTTAAGGCTGATAGGGCTATTCTTTAACACAAAACTTAATTTTTGTGGGGAAAGTCATCAGAAAATACATGTTCTTTGGCGCCAAGAAAGTCAACTGTTCCTTCGAGGATCAAGCAACGTTCTGCAGGAGTGACAGATTTGGGGAGAAATGCTGGTGAATATTCAATTTAAAAAAAAAAAATCATGATTTTGCTAAAATTTGGGAGAGAGAAAGGAATCTGGCAAAGCTTCCTGTTAACCAATTACTGCAATTTTCCAAGACGAATTTTTGTAACAGGTGGCAAACATAAAGCCTCAAAACGCTCTGATCTTCCCCTTTTCACATCCAGCTGCTGGCTCAGGCGCGGAGGTCAGGAGAACCCCCCCCCCGCGCGTCGACTTCTGCGCTGGCTGCTCCTCCGAGCATCCCCAGCTCCTGCGGCTTTTATTCCATCTTATTTTGGAAAAACTGGCTCTGCCCCTTTGCTGAGCGCTGTAAATTCGCATTTTTCTTACCAAGCGCCCTACGTGGCGATTTCACATCGATAAAAGGCATCCTTCCAAAACGTTGTATTTCACGGGGGCTCGGCATGGGTGTCAAACGCCAAGAGAAAAGCTCTTCCCAGCTCTTCCCAAGCCCCTGGGACACAACCCTGGGGCTTTCCCACCGACCCTGCTTGGGATTTGGGTCCGTGAGCACCTCGGTACCTGGTGCAGCTTGGCGAGGACGGGGCCGGTCCTCTCCTTCTCCTCGTATTTCTCCACCTTGGACTGCAGGCGCTTGTAGTCCTGCAGCGTTTGCTCCCGTCTCTTCACTGCCATGTTCAGGCTGGGGAACACGCTGCTGGACCACCTGGTGAAAGGGCGGGAGGGGCTTTTGGGTGGGATATCTTGGTCGGATGCAGCATCCAAGGTCATCTCCCAGCCAAAAGCCCTCAAATAGTTCAGGATTCGGACCAAAAATACCCAGGGGTTTAAACAAAGCCCGTTCCAAACACAGAAGCCTTCACTGCAATCTTCCAGGAGAGTGGAAGAAAGGATTAAGTTACAAATAAAGATTTGCAAAGCCTTGCCAGGGTACGGTGTTTGAGAGGAGAGCTAGAAGCACATGCTTGGGTTTTTTTGTGAAGGTCAATTCATGTGTCGAAGGGTGTGTTTTTAAATAATAATAATAAAAATCGAGCCAATTTTGCAAAGCCTGGTAAAAGTACTTTGAAGGTCCCAACCTGCTTCTGACTTCTCCTGCCAGCCCTTATGCTTTTACCATTAGTTCTTTATTTTTAACAGTTTTCCCCCTCTCTTCCAGCTGCTGTATTTGAGAACATGGAGAGCTGCCTTATCTGGGATGGGGGACGGAAGCTGCTGCAGAAAACAAAGCTGTTAACTCCACCGAGCAAACCAAAATGGAGAAATAAACAACTTTTCCCCCGTATATAGTTAGCTAATGTGGTATTTCCCCAATACCGTGTTTGGAAAGGGAACGAGCAGGGAGAGGAGCTGGATCAAAAGTCCAGGAAAAATAAATATGAAGTGTAAAATAAATATTAACTGCAGCAACTTTTGCTTTTTTGGGCAATTTCTGGGGTTGCAAACCCCAGCCTGCCGTACAGCAAGGCTTGCCAGCTGAAGAGAGGTCTGTACCCCACACAGAAGGATTAACAGCAGCCAACAATTAGCCAGGCTACAGGAAGAATCATATTATTAAAATGTGTTACAAATTGAGGAAACATGAACATCTGACGGCGAAGACAAGACAGAATATTTCTGAACGCGACAGAAGAGGGAAAGCCAGAAACTGGAGCATTGCTCTTGTCTCCCAAATTTCAGTAAATCAAATTATACCGGTGGGAACTGCGCTGGTGCTGGGCTACAGGTTCGTATGAAACGGGTCACACTACCTCCGGATGTATTAATTTAATCTCCGCAAATTATAGGGTCATTCTGGGGGGCCAAGGCCAGGAACCGGTCGCGAAAAATGTGTCTAAACAGCCTGGTGATGATTTTCACTTCTGAGAGGCAAGCAAACAGCTTCCTGATCCCTTTAAATTGAAAAAAAACCCCAAACCCAACCTATAACCCAGGCTGGGGGGCACATTAGCAAAAAGAAAAACACAAATCTCACTTTACAACTGTAATTTGCTTTAGATATAATCAGATGAATGGCTAATACAGAGGCATTCGGGTTCAAACGAAACCACGGGCGTTCGCAGCCCTGCACAGCCACTCCATCCCCTATTAAAATCTCATTTTCCGCCGCCGTGCTCGCCCCGGAGGGTGCTAATGTGCCTTGCTGGCGGCTGCAGAGGCAAAGCTTTTGTCCCTGAGCCTTACCAGTTTGCAAAGGGCAAATGCCAGAAGCGAGGGGGAAGGGGAAACATTTGTGTTCAAGCATTTGTGTTCAAGCGTCCCCCACTGAGATGGTGAACCAGGGATGTCTTCTTGCAGTCCTGCTGGCCCGAGGATAACCAGGGCCGGTCCGTGCACGGCCAGCAAGGCTCTCGTGTGCTCAGCCGCTGACATTCTCCTTCTGACCGAGACTATCGCGAGAGACTATTGCAGCTGGGGCCGCGGCGCGAGGAGCAACCTGCAAAAGTCATCAGGGAGCTCGCCCAGCGTCACCCTGCCGCCCAGCTGCCCGCGCACGGATCAGATGCTGCTGCCCTGACATTGCTTTTTATGGTCACCGTCGCACACGGCTCCCCATTATATTTAAATGCCGCAGCAGCTTTACGGGTCCCGGCTGCGCCAGGCTCCAAGCATGGACTCACCATCTCCTGGGCCATGGGCCGCTGCTCTACATACCTCCTCCCTCTACATAAGGTCCAAAAATATGCCGTGAGAGGGCTAGGGAAATCGGGATGGGCAGTCAGGACTGCACGGAGGAAGGGAAGGGGTACCCAGGTTGAGAGGTCTGCTCGGTATGAAAGCACAGACGTTCTTTGCCGACGGCACACAATGTCAGCAGCTTGCGGTTGCAGCTTCTGCAGAAATTTCTCCCAATTATTAACGAGCTGGCAATGGAAAGGAAGGATCCCGTCAGGCCAGCGGCTCTCGGCTTTATTCTTGTGTTATATCCCTGATGGGGCGGGTTTGGCAACAGGGCACACAACCTCTTACCTCTCTGCATTGCACCCAAAAGCAGGGCAGGAGCAGGTTGCGGCTCACTAACGCCTGGGGGGGGGAGCGGAGCTGCTCCTCCGCAACGAGCTGCTCCTCCACGACGTACCTCTGGGACGGGCAAATGCTGGAGGAGACAGCGAGGGGCTGGGAAATCCTCCCTCCCCTGCTCTGCAGGGAGGCTGTGCACCGAGCGCTGAGCCGTGGTTGTTCCCTCCGGCGCTGCCAAGCCACCAGTGTGGCCTGGATGCGGCCGCCACTGCCCGCGCACCCATCAACTCTTGGAAAACGCTCATCAAGAAGATGCCTCAAAAACGCTAAGCCTTGTGTCGGTACCCAACACTAGCTTTTAAATGGCATTTTTCTGACGGCCCCGCTTTTGAGCCCTTTCTCTCGCGCACTCTCCCATGCTCGGCACCTCCACGGTGCTCATACATTAAAAGAGCCACGAGACACCAGAGAATTAGCATGCAGCCATTTACATCTTACAAACTCGCTACCGCAGGGGAAGAGCAAACCCTTTAGCTCCGAAACACAGCAAGTGAGAATGCAGAAGACGATTAGCAACACAGTTTCCATTTACTTTGAAGTTAAATCTGGTTTTAAAAAGGAAGAAGGCTTGATTTCTATTTTTTTTCCCCCCTTTTTGTTCCTAGTATCAACTCAGTGCGATTTTGCAGCCCATAATGGAAGGACACTGTACTCCGGCAGCGCTTTAAAAAAGCCAGCTACAGCGCTGGATCTGAAGAGGCTGTTACTGTGTAGGCACAGCAACTACTGTCTCACAAGGACTTTTAATGCATAGATTATACGCTGCATTTCGGGGGGGGACCCCCACCCCCCCACCCTGCCATTAACACAAGGCACCATGTCAGCTCCCCGGATCCGCAGCCGTGCCGGGCACGGCTCCGGGTGCCCCAGGCTCCAGCCTGGGCGCTGGAAACATCAGCCTTAAGTGATGGATTGCTGAGGGATGTGCGCGGGGGGCTCGAACCACCCCCCGCGATGCTCGAGGGGTTTTAAGGGCTGCGAGCAGCACGACTGAAACCCGCTTGAGTTTCTCCTGAGCAGCCGCAGCCGAGCAGCGAAGCGGCGTGGGGATTTCTAAGTCGCTTGCAAACCCCCCCGTGGCAGCTGAGGTTGTCTCGGTGCGGTGGTCCCTCACCACCGGCACCAGCAGGAAGGAACGGGCCAGCCGCGGCTCCTCCAGACACCGCCAGCATGCCAACCGAGCTCTCCCCGTGCCGACTGAGCTCTCCCCGTGCCAACCGAGCTCTCCCCGTGAGTCACCTGGTTTAATTTTCACGCAGGATTAGCTCAGCTCAAGCAGGGAAGGATGCTCCTTCCTTGGACTGATCTGGATTGAGGCGAAGCTGCCTCCGGCTCCTGAAGGAATTACTCCGTACGAATTCCCTATTAACCCAGCAGCTCTGAAATTCCCCTGGAGTTCAGAGAGAAGTGGGTTTCTTGCCCACATTGAAGTCCTGCCCAGATTTTTCTCCCCGTGTGTACAGAAATACAATCTCAAGCCAAGCGCCAGGGGTGGTAAACACCCGTGAAGGGTGATAGGGAGATACGGGCTCCGCCACTGCCAAGTTATTCTGACGGCTTAATAAATTGCTGCATTTCACATGTCACCCCAGTGTCTTCGCAAATATCTCATGCATGTTATTTACAAATGCTCCTCGTGGAAAGCCTGGCAGAAACGCCGTCTACAAACCCTCCAAAAGCTCCTGCCATCCACAAACACATCCCTCAGTCTCCCAAGCCCTGCGAGAACAACCCCGTGAGGATCTCAAATCTTTTCCAAAGCCTTCAGCTAAGCATCGCAAACCCTCCCGGCAGCGGTGGTGCCAGCAGACAAGGGACGAGGACCGTCATTAGTGCCATGGGTGGTGAGCAACACCCAAACAGTATCATCCAGGCTGGAAATGAGGTCTGAACAACTAAACCCAGAATTTTAGCGTTTTAGCAGGACCGGGGAAGCCTCACAAGCAAACCCTGGTCATTTCACCCATCCATTCCCCCCCGCACGCGGAGCAAGGGCAACGATTCCGCCTGCTGCAAAGTGCCCCGAGAAGCACAGATGAAAAGCCCTGTAGTAGATGTGGGTATTTATCGATAAGCCCAGCACCATCCTCCTCCGTACGCTCCACCCAGACCCTGCTCTTGCAGGGGACGAGAGGGTCTGACAGCCGTAACCACTCACAGATCCCCAGGACCGCCCTCTGATACTCGATACTTTCTTCTTTAATACAAAGCAAAGCAAATTGAAGCTGACTTAAAGAAAATTTGGTGGGTACGGTGCTAAAAGCACAGAGCAGAAGTGAAGGTAAAACAGCAGCACAGGGCATTAGAGCCCCCGCCACGAAAGCAGCTTGCAGAATAAGCCGCCGTTGTTCCCTGTCACTTTTTAGGCAAGGCTGCTGAGAGGGGATTACAGTACAGGCGGCTTAAGAGGAGCAGGTGAGGGGAGATACGCAGGGATAACTGAAAGAAAATACAAATTACTGTCTCCCCACTGCTGCGGGGGGAGAGGGGGAACGTACCAGTGAACTCCTCTTAGGATGACAGTTTAGCCCTGGAAAAAAAAATATGAATCACCCGATTCTCTGAATTATAAATCATGTTGCCACCTCGTCTCCACGCCAGCCTCCCTTTAGCTTCCCATAATTAAAGGACGGGGCTGGAGAGACACTGCCACGGAAGATAAAAGCGCCACCAGGATTCCCGTCGCTGCCGGATTCGTTCGTTAGTCAGCCCAGCTGACAAGTCTGGGGCTTGAAAATTGAAAACTTCTCTGCCTCTCTGGCGGGAGGCTGCCGGCCAGCCCAGCGAGCGGCTCTTTGCGGGGATGCTCGAGGAGCGGGACCATCCCATCACCTCCCTGCCCGCAGCGAGGTCCCCGTCTTCTCCTCTCCCTCTCCATCCCCGCTGCCTGCCCCAATGCATCCCCGATGCTCGCCCTGCGGCTTCCTCCAGCCCCCATTTTTAGTGCCAGCAACGCGAAAGAGGTGCTAGGGCTTTGACACAGGGAAAAATAACGGTAAAAGCTTTACTCCTCCCCATTTGCGAGTGTCTCAAGCGCTCTCGTTGGCCGCCCCGTGAGCTGGACTAGGCTGGCACGCACGTGCGCTCTTCCCTATGGCATTATTTAGGGACAAAGCCTTGGATACCGAAAGCAAAAGGAAGTGGACAGGATCTACGGCTGGCACCGGACAGGGGAAAAAGGAATAACAGAGCTGGGGAGCATGAGATGCAAAAGAAAGTGACGGCGGATGAGATGAGGAGGAAGTTTGGAGAGGCGCAAGGATGGCTCAGCGCAAGGCTGAAGCATCTGGGCTATGTTCGGGGATGCCTGCCATTCCTCAGCCCGTGCCCACACGTCCGCCGTGGGCCCGTCCACCCACCAGGAAAGGGGAAATTAACACCAGCCCTTCCGACTAGAGCGAAAAGGAACAGAAATGAAGACGACGGTACAAAAAAGCAGGGAGCTGGGGATTAGGCTGAGAGCCCCGCGCGGCGGGAGGGGGCCAGGCAGCCATGTGGCTAGCTTTGCGCACGAAATCCTCATTAGGGGCTCGTTAAGGACATGAAAGCGGCTTTTCCTGCTTCCGGTCCCCGGCACCCCTGGGGCCGCTCGCGGCCGGTTATCTGCTTCGGCTGGCGGGGGGGGACAGCAGCTCGCGGGTTCACGGGGACG